CTCACCACATTGTGGGTAAAAAGAAGGAGAGAAGTGCTGTGGCCCTTTGGGAAGCCCAGACCTGGGAGTTCCCCAAGTCAGGGCTGTGACCCCCCCTCTTTGGGACCCTATGGTTCTTGGCATCTCCAAGCTTTCAAGTGCCACCATGTTCCCTGGTGCCTGCAGTCAATGCTGCTTGCAGTGCAATTGGTCCAGCCTCAGCCTCGTAGAGAACTAGTACCCATGCCAGTGCTGCCCACCTCACTGCAGCAGCCAGCATGTCTGACTGAGCAGTGGCAAGACCCCACATTTGCTCACACATCCCTCACTGCTCCATGCCTAACTCGCCCTTGGCAGGCATGAGATCCAGGCCAGGAGCATGAACTGAGTGCAGTCTGCCAGGCCAAGCGAGTGGAACAAACCCAGTAGGCCCATGCAAAACTTGAGTAAAGGCACCACCAACCACAGAGGATTCTGGTCAGAAAAGCAACACCCCAAGGATCCTATGACAAAAGTGGTGTAATGCTGATCCAAACCAAGTTCAACAATAAATTCCAAACTGGATAAACCTGTTGGGTTATGCTTATGTCTGGGAATAGGTGGTACAGAACATCTTTCCATTGGGAATGGTGGCTGCTTTTTGGACTCCTTTTGACAATTAAAACAAAGATTAGCATGTCAATCTAAACTTTCATATATAACAGATAAGAAATTACATCCTAGCTATCTATACTTTGGGACTTTGTCACAGCTGTCTAAATGGGTGAAGTTAATATTGCAGATTGGTCTCATTCTTCTACTTGGAGTTCTGCTGATAGTAGCCTCAATTAAACATTGTTTGAGGCAAATTCAATGTATTTAGTCTCAGAACCTCTGTCAGTTAAATTAATCAGAATGGCTTCTGGAGTGGCATACTTATGAGAAAAATTTCTAGACAATAACACGATGTAAGAATATGGAGTGGATATTGTTGAAAACCAGACCATCCTTAATCTCTTATACTCATAAATGTCTTGCTAGATATGCCAATGGTTTAAGACCATGACCACGCTACCTGACCACTTTCCAGAGTTACACTTGCAGCAAGCGATCTTGAGGGGTGAGGTACTGTTTCCCTCTGAGACAAAGAGCAAGTTGGTTTACTCCTTACTACAAAAGCAGTGAATTCTCCAAGCTCAAAGTTCCTCAGTTATGACACAGTACCACTTCAAACAAAGTATTCATCAGCACACAAGCACACATATCATCTTTTTTAGATTTAAGGGAAAGAACAACCGAAGTGAATATACCAATGTTTACGCTGTTTGCTGGGTCATGAGTAACAAAATCCTTTGTCTCTAAGTAGTTTCATGTCTTTACTGTAGCCTCCATCAAACAAGCTTAGTAAAGACTAAAGACTATTATAGTAAAGACTAAAGACTTGAATTACCTTTTTTTTTTTTAAGACAGAAGAGGTTTCACTATATTGCCCAGGCTGGACTTGAACTCCCAGACTCAAGGGATCCTCCCACCTCAGCTTCCTGAGTACCTGGGACTGCAGGCACATACTACCACATTTGGTCTGAATTACTTTTGACAACAATAAGTTTCCCAAAACTGGTCTTGAATGAACCTTTTTTGAAGGACAAAATGTGTAGCCCCATATGGGAATTAACTGTCACATGTGATCAAATATTTGATCAATTTTCTGATATTCTTTAATAAAATAAAGACTCATTCTGAGATATTAGTGTTATAATCTCAGATGACTATTAATCTCATGATGAGCCTAACAACCACTACACAGAGTACAGTCATTATGAACCAATAATAATTTCACCATAATAATTATCTTTAAACTGACTTTTTTTAAAAAACTTAACCTTCTATAAAATGTCTCTACTTACTCCAATTATTTGAATGTGTTTCCTGATGCAATTTTTCTCTTGCAATAATTTGAGATTAAACTTTGACATGTGCTTATCATTATTTGATTTGGGAAGTTGTTTTCATACTTTCCAACATCTTTTAAGTATACCTTTTTTTTCTTTCGGATATTTTACTGTGGGATTATGTTTAGAGTTTACTCGGTTCATTCAGATTACACCTGATGCCAGTTGAGTGAGGACAGGCTGAGACCCTGAGTTGATCTAGTTATTTGCCAGAGTTCACTGAGCATAGGAAGGCCTGGTCCTGAGACAAGGGGTAAGTGCCAGCATGAACAGAACTCTACCACATATCTGAGCAGGGAGCACATACACGAAGTTCAGATTTGCTAGGATGGAAGTGAGAAGAAACGAAAAGGAAAAAAGAAAGCAAGGCCAAGCAACATTCATTTATTCATTCTGTATATATTTCTTTTTTGTTTTATTTTATTTTATTTTTTAAGAGATGAGGTCTTGCTTTGTCACCCAGAGCTGAAGTGCAGTGGCACCATTATAGCTCACTGCAGCCTCCAACTCTTGGGCTCAAGAAATCCTTCTGTCTCAACCTCTTGAGTAGCTAGGACTGCAGGCGTGTGCCACCACATTCATCTAATATTTTATTTGTGTTTTTTGTAGAGATGAGGGTCTCACTACGTTGCCCGGGCTGGTCCTTAACTCCTGACCTCAACTGATCCTTCCACCTCAGCCTCACAAAGTACTGGGATTACAAACGTGAGCCACCACGCCCAGCCACATGCAGAAGATATTTTTTCACGGACTACTATGGGTCAGTCACTAAAGGTAGGCACTAAAGTTAAAGGTATGATTAAACAAACAATATCCCTGACCTCATAGAAGTTGTATCCTGATTGGAAGTTCAGGCAATGAACACATTGGCACGTAAATCAACATTATCACTAGACGTTATGATTATTACCATAAGGGAGATAACTAGGGTTTTGTGATAGAGCTATGGGGACAGCCATGGATGGCTACATTAGTCAGGAAGATCAACAGAAGTCAGAAGGCTCTATCTGTAGTAGTGTACTTGAGCTGAGACCTGAAGTGTGAAAATGAATTGGGCTTGCCCATATTTGGAGGAACAGCATTTCAAATGGACGAATTTGGCTAAATGTGGAAAAGAACATGGCAAGTTCAGAATACTGAAAGGAGAATAGTGTTATTGGTACACAGAGAGCTGGGAGAGTTAAAAGGGGAGATTGAAAAGGAGGTTCACATGATACAGATCTTTGTGTATCACAGCCTGAAATTTGCATTTTATTCTAGAACCAATAGAAAGCCATTGAAGCGTTTTTGGGCTAGTAGAGACAGCTTTTACTTTATATTGTAAAAAATCATTCTGGCACCCCATCAAATGGGTGCTTCTCAAACTTTTAAGGATAGAATCACGTGGTTGTTCTGTTAAAATGCAGATTCAAATTCAGTCAGCCTGAGATTCTGCACAAGTTCAGATAGTGTTGGTCCACACTTACAGTAGGAACGACATGGAGAATAGATAGCCTTGAAAGAAAATAGAACATTAGAAGGTAAATGGGACCATGACAGTGTTTTTCAAAGTTTTTCTTTAACATATCTTATTGTATGATAAGATACTTATGTTGTGTGAAACACTCTTATTCTGTATGTTTTCTAATTCTGTTTTATTTATTTTTAATAACAAATGTATAACTTCATAGAGTAAAATAGTTAAAACATTTAAAAATTTTACTCGGCAAAGTGGAAAGTTCTTTAAAGTAATAATGTTCATAACAGGTAAAGAAAGTATGGAAAACAGAAAGCTTACATGCTATTGTTGAAATCACAATTTGGTGAAAAATTTCTTCCTGGAAATTAGATACGCAGTGTTATGTGTTTTCCCTTATTCAACCAGTTCCATTCTGTTAAAGCTGAACTTTAATGATGTTAATAAAAACATTGTCTATAATACCGGATAATTAGAAATATTATCAAAAGGTAATTCACTTTTTAAAAATAATCTATATAATGAAGACTAGACAGTCATTTAAAATTATATCTTCACTATATGATCCCTGGCATGGAAATATCTATAATATAATGTTGAGAGAAGGGAGCACATTAATAAATACTGGGGACATTATCAGCCCTATTCATAGAGAAATGCAGTTATACATGTGTACAAGAAAATTTGAAAAAATCGTAATAATTGTTATTTCTAGGCGATGAAGTTATGAGAATGCTCTATTTTGATAGGTATTCGTATCTTCCCATTTATCTAGGTTGAACATACACAATTAAATAAAAATTTTGATTTAATTTAAATGTGAAACATGTAACTAGTTTCTTCAGACTCTAGACACTGCTTTGCATCCTTGGTGGAAGAAGCAACTGACAAGGGATCATAAAGCCTAGACTCTACTTCTAGCTTTCATTTTACTGTAAGTCATGCTTAAGTAAATGATGCCATACCTGTGGATCCAAATTCTTTCATTTATAAAATGAGGGGTATGGGCTGGAGCAGTATTTCTTAAAGTGTGATTGATACAAGAGGTCCTATTAGGCAGTGTACAGACAACTTTTTCAGTTGTTACATATATGGTGTTATTTTAATTTGCACTGGGAAAAATATAACCAGCACTTTAAATATGTTATTTATATCATATACATGGTTTCACAGATGGTATCTGGTAAAATGAAGACAATTTTACATAGTTATTTTTAAAGTCTATTTAACATAAATGTCAATTTAATATTAAATTAAGTAAATAATGGTATAGATGCTACATAGATACCAAAAATATCATGAAGATACGATCAAATGGGTAAAATGTTCCTGATGAGGGTGCAGCCTGGAGAAAACTTGCTTCATGGACTCAGAGCCTGCTCCACAAAGGGGTCTGCCCTCTTAAAGAGTAAAGCAGTGGAAGGAATCTGCAGGCAAACAGGATCAGAATCTGTGCAATCTGCATTGAGGAATGAAATTTCAATAATAACAAAAGGAAATTTAATTTAGTATAAATTCAGATTCATGACATAAGAAAGATGCATTATCCTTCACTTCTGTTTTGAAGACAGAGGTCATAAAGAAAGTTCCTTCTGTACATTTAAAATAAATAAATAAATAAAAACAAAAAATCTTCACTCCCACCTGCAAGGCCAGGCCTGTGTCAAGGGTCCCGGCTGCAGGTCATGGCACAGGCTGCAGGTGCTGGGGAGACACTGCCACAAAGCACAGAAGTAGGTGGCTGAATCTCCTGGATGAGAGTCGGGGAGATTCCAAACACTATAAAACTTCTGTTTTCCAAGCAGTTCTTGAAAGTATTTGTCTCCCTGCTCCTTCTGGCTTGACTGAATTAAGGTCAAAGACACAAATCCTTTCCCTGGATCCTGCAGACACCAGTGGAAATTGAAGAATGTTCTCACCTGAAAAGTACAGTTAAGAATGGCGTGCATTCCCTCCTGGACACTCAGGAAGGAAGGACTCTGCTCCAGTGTACGCAGTCTATTCACCCCTGTTTCAACAGAGAGCCACAGACAGAGGACATTCATTCACGGAAATTCATTCATTTGGAAGTTATACTCTCTTTTCACAGCCCCCACAGGTGAGCACTGAGACTCTAATCACCCTTCTATAACTTCCAGACTTATGAAGAAGATACTACAGTCTGCTCTTTTTTATGATATTTCCAGAGCCCAGTAACTCACAGCACAGCTGCCAGGAGAAAATCAAGAAGGAAACTCCCAAGGGCTTCTCCATTTTTATCACTCAGACTCAATGAGGTCTCTGGCTGGGGTCTGGGAGCCCTCAAACACTATCAAGCCAAATGTCTGGTTTCTCTGAGTGAATATTCATAGTTCTTTGTTGCAGGAAGCTGAGAGTCTCCCCATCCAGCCAGAAACAAAATTTACTCCCCCGTGCACAGATCACACAGCGCCTCCTGATCTCTGAAGAAGTAACATGGAAAAGGGCCCTGGCAGGACCAGGTGCTGATTCTCGGTCAGCTACATCTAGCGTTTGTCCCCTAGAGGTTCCTCTTTCCTTTTTCCTTCTATAATACTTCCTGGGTATCTACCATGTATGTACAAGTTATAAATTGAATAACTTAAAAAGATTTCTCCCCCAAACCTAGAAAGGTTCTTTTCTGTCCTTTCCAATGCAGAGCTCTGTTAAATGAGCTCCCGGGTATGGATCTAGTTATTGGCACTGTAGGTCAGTATAATGGTGTTATATCTGAGTCCTGCTCCATAAAGCTCATGTGGGTCCATCATAGAATTTACACTAAGTTACACCAGAAGCAAGAAAGCTTCATTTTCTGTGCAGAAAACCTATGAGATAAAAACAAACAAACAAACAAGACAATACTGTCAGTTCAAATAATTGGATGGGATAAGGCCAATGTGAAATAAAGGGTGACTCTCGGCCATAACCATAGTAAAAGAATATAATCAACAGAAGGAGAGTGGAAAGGTAAACCTTAATCCATACTTAAAGTTTCTTATTGTCTTATTTTAAATTACCTTTGTTGTATCATTTATGTCCAAGAATAACTACCATTAATTTAAAAATTATTTTCTACCAATGCAATTCAATCATTTAACTAAATTCATTTAATTTAATTCAATCCTTATGACCACACAATGTATGTGTAATTACCATTGATGATGTGTAGGTGCTCTGACGTTATGTAATTTTGTCCAGGGTAATGCAATTTAGTAAGTGATAGATAAGCATGTCAATGCCTATGCCTTTTAATCACCATGTGAAACCTGCAAACTAAACTAAACTAAGCAAGCAAGGAAAATGCCTATATTGGAATGCAAACTTCCCAAGATATTCCTGTAAAAGAAAGTGAACACTATAGACAAATATAGACTCAAGCCTCGTGATGGAAGGTCTTTTTTGTCTGCATTTATCTATTTTGTTTATTACCCTACTCCTTCTACCTACAAAAACACCTGTCACTTATTTGTTTTTTGTTTCGTTTTGTTTTGTTTGAGATGGACTCTCATTCCATTGCACTTGCTAGAGTGCAGTTTTGCAATCACAGCTCACTGCAACCTCTGCCTCCCGCGTTCAAGCTATTCTCCTGCCTCAGCCTCCCTAGTAGCTGGGATTACAGGTGCATGCCACCATGCCTGGCTAATTTTTGTATTTTTAGTAGAGACAGGGCTCCCTCATATTAGCCAGGCTGGTCTCGAATGCCTGACTTCAAGTGATTTGCCCGCCTTGGCCTCCCAAAGTGCTGGGATTACAAGCATGAGCCACCGCATCTGGCCCTATTCTTTGTTTAATAAATAATTGTGTAATGAACAAATTCAATGTGTGGCTGTCCTTCAAGACCTAACTAAATTTGCTATTCCCCATGATACTTTCTCCTATCTTTTCTGTCCCACAGTGATCTCCTTCTAAGAATACACTTAAAACTTATTTGTCCACATACTTGGAATTTTATCTATTGATTCCATTTTCATGTATTTTATCTTTTTCCTCAATTAATTTATAATTACTTACACAAGTCTGCTATAGCAGCAATCTGAACTTTAATTTCTTCACTCTAAAGACTTGAAAGGAGATACAGGACAGGAAAAAATATCTGGTTACTGAATATATCTAGGTTTATTTTTGCTCCAGAATTCAAGGCATTTTGATGTCTTGACACTTGAGCAATCTCCAGACTAGTTACAAAGAACAGTCCAGGTCCTGGCTTCATTTGTTCACAAAGTATCAATTCACTAAGCTGGGAAATGAACTTATTTGCAGGGCTCATAAAGATAACAAATCAATCTTATTCAACAATATCCTCAAATGTGTGATCATCTTTAAATATCAATTCCTGTGAGTTTATAGTGACAGATCAGATGCAATCCTTTACATTTTTTAAGATGTTTGTTATTTTTTAATAATCTTTATTTCGACAGAAGAAAAATCCAAGAACTATAGAAAATTAAAAGCACAGAAGACAAGGAAAGACAAAAAGTAAAAACATTATATTCCCACCATACAGGGATTGCCATTTTAAATATCTTGGTATATATTCTTCCCATTTTTTACAGTTGATATCTGCCTTTTAAATAAGTACTTTTCTCATCTAATTCTCAAATTATATACACATTTCTCTAATTGTCCCAAAAAGAACTTCACAGCTAATTTGTGCAAAACAGAGTTCACAATTGCAGGTAGGCATTCTGTCCCTAAGTCTCTTTTCTAGAACACTGATAGCTGAAAAGCCTGGCACAGTTGTTCTGCTGCCTGAGAGTGACTGTGCCTGCCAGGATCCCCTGGCCTTCCAGTGTCCTCTAAAAGAGCAGTGGTGGAAGGTGATAAAGAGTTGGTGCAGCACCTGGACAGATGCCTTGATCTGGAGCATAACTAAATGGGAAGAGCAGATTTATTCTCACAGGATGCTTTCTGAGAACTTGAATAGCCATGAAATGACAACTGAATGTCTTTCAGGGGAAGGAAACTTCTCAAGGTATTTCCATCAGCCACATCTACTTGTTGCTCTTTCACTTAGTTGACGTTCTGCTGGTAAGTGTCCAGATCACAAACCAAGCTAGTCTCTCCCTTCCAACCAACACTGTCATCTACTTCAGCAGCAGTAATACAGCATGACGGACTGTCTCACCCTTGGAAACACCCAGATGTAGCAATTAACTTTGTGTGTTGAGTAAGAATGTCTTTATCCTCGCTTGAGGGCATGTATCCTACCGGAGCCTATGTAGAACTCTAGGCTCAAGCTCAAATCGAATCATGTCTGAGAGATAAATATTCACTCACTTGTGGAATTACATTCTGCATTAAAAAAAAAATGGTCTACTCCAACTCCTATGCCTCCTTGACAACCTCCAGGTGCAGGTTTACATAGTGGCTTCAAGTGCCTGGGGAGCACAGTGCGCTCACCACACAGATGTAGGAGGCTGAATCGCTGAGCTGGGCGGCTGTGATGTACAGAGAGCTTTGCTTGGTGTCTGCATCCAGAGTTGCTGTGTACCTTCCATTCGACTTTGTGTTGTCACTGAAAGTCATGATTGTCAGGGAAATGAGACCTTTCCCAGTATCTTGCTTATACCACCTTAAGTTGCTGAAGGGGCTCACTGTGTAATTGCATTGAAGAGTGCAGTTCTTTCCCTCCAGGATGATCAGGGACTGAGGACTCTGCTCCACTTGGTTTTTGCCACTCCCCCCTATTCAGAAAGCAAAGTGAGATTCAAGAGATCCATTATCCAGTATTAATACTGTTTAATTTGCATCCCTTCCTTACTCCCCACGATGAATCCCAAGTGAAACAGAAAATGGTCCCATTTTCTCCCTTCTTCCTATCCCAGTGGACTACCCCTTCACCCCAAATCTTAAGAAAATATTCCCTTGACTTACTCTGTTAACTTTGCTAAAACTCTCCACTAACTTACTATAAAAATAAAGCCACAAAATCACCAAGCAGGTCCTCAGATTTATCTTCATTTTTATTTTGCAGAGGTCTGCTCCCAGAAGTTGACTTGTGTATTCAACATCTTCTCTTTTTCTAACACTAAACCAAAGGTTCCTCAGAGAGTATCCCTAGCCAATTAGAGACCAGGCTTCGCTACCTAACACATACTGCACATTCAGACCTGCAGGCGGGGCGAATGCAAATACTGCCATCTTGGGGTCAGAGCTACAATTGCTTAGAACTTTTGATTAAGCTTTTTTCCTCCTCACTATTTGCAACATGATATAGACGTAAAACCCCTTTATGTCTATATCAGCACAGTAGATTAGTAATTTAGACATATTTTTGAAGCTCTGCATTCTGGCTCTATGTGATATTAAATAGGAGAGTTAAGCCTTAGCTTTCTCATCTGAAAATAGGTATGATAACACCTAAAAAACTTTTTCTAAAGATTGAAAAGAGATGATTCATGTAAAGGCTTATTGTAGTGACTAACATGAACTTAGCCTTCAACTGAAATACAAACTCTCTTAGGATAGGGACTTTTATCTGTTCTATCTCTGCTACATTGTCAGTTGCTAGAATATGGCCTGTCAATAAATAGGCCTATAATAAATTTATATTGAGGGAATGAATAAATGATAGTTTTGTTCTGGTAATGACAGATGTATTTTTATTATTCATTTTTAATTCAACAATTATTTTTAAATGCTTACATTTTCAGGTATGATGATAAGTGCTGAGAATAAGCAAAGTCCCTGCACACATGGGATTACATTCTAATGAGAGGAAAGAGAGTATTTGAGCATAGACGCAAGTGACCGGTAAGTGTTGAAGCTTTTGAAAATTCTCTTCTGATTGTTTCTATCTTCTCAGTGAAATAAGAAGCTTATGAACAGTTGAGAATGTCGATATATGAGGATTTATTTTAAGTTTCATTTTTAAAGCACAGAGAAGTTGAAAGAATGGAAATAGATATACCAGAAACAATAAAAAAAAAAAAAAAGTTGGTATATTATACTTGTATAAGCAAAGTAGGCTTTTGGAAAAGATTTGCTAGAGGTAAAGATTGTGTGATGGCTAATTTTATGCATCCACTGGGATAGGCTCCAGTACCCAATATTTGGTCCAACATCAGTCTAGATGTCACTGTGAAGGTATTTTTAGATGAGATTAATATTTGAATCAGTAGACTTTGAGTAATGCAGATTTTCTGCATAATGTGAATGGACCTCGTTCAATCAGTTGAAGGTCTTAAGGGAAAAATACTTAGGTTCTCCAAAGAAGAAGAAATTATGCCTCCAGACTTGTCTTCAAACTCAAACTGCAAAATCAATGATTCCCAGGTTGTCCAGCCTGACAACCTGCCCTGCAGAAGTTGGACTTCCCAGCCCCTAAAATTGCATGAAACAATTCCTTAAAATAAATCTCTCTATATAGATAGATAGATACAGATATAGATATATACAGGGAGTTGCA